CATCTGAGCTCATGTCTCCCCATCATGTGTATCAAGCTCCTTACTGCAAGGCTGCACCGCAAAAGACAAAAAAGCCTTCCTTCTGGGCACTAACCTGACCTACTTCCTTTTTTTCATAATTCCGTTTTTCTTTCTATTATAATATTGACCAATATCCTGATGATAACAATGTAGAGAAAGATACTATCCATTTTCTGCTCTGGATTTGAAGGTGTCCAGCTGTCCAGCTGTATTATCTCAATGTAGAGGAATACCAAGTTCAAGCACTAGGTTCCTCTTGAAAGGCAGATCACAGAGTGACTCTGGAGCGGTATTTAGAGTAGAATAAAGTGGACAAAAAGAACCTGGGGCTGAGGTTAAGTTGGGTAGAAATCAGTAAAAAAAGAAGGTGGTAAAAAAGAAGTAAAGAATAATGTTAGGGGAATGGATCAGACTCCCTAGTAGATCCAAATCACGTAATTGAATGGTGAATATTATAATTGGAAAGTGTTTTTTTTTTTTTCTTTAATGTGTTATATTTCTTTAGGTTAGGAACAGACTCTAAAATAAACTGAATCAGGCTGGAAAGAAAGCAACGTGGTTATTGTCATCAAAATTGTTATGATTATCATCATTATCATTATATTTTCAGAAAACAAAAGAAAATAGATTAGCGTTGCATGGAAATGGTTCAAACAATAAAGTAAAACTTGCTTATTATTGTGTAATCTTTATTCAGCAAGTGATTTATTGATTTGAGATATAATTCGCATAATATAAAAGTCTACATAAAATTTACCATATTAAGGGCTTCACTTTAGTGATTTGTGTATCTTCTCTCTCTCCATATATCCATACACTCTGATTATTTTCTTATTATTTTACCATGTATTGAAAACTTCTGGATAGTTTCAATTCAAATCTGACTCCTAGTTAATCAAGATTTTCCTAAGTATGTTAGTTTCTTACTGTTGCTCTAACAATTTAGCATATATTTAGAATCTTTAGTGGATAGTTTGTTTCCTGGCCCATTCCAATTTCTACAGGCCCCTTCATCTTTCACTTATATGGTCCTGCCTGTCATCTCAAATCCAGCAGCATAGCATCTTCCAATCTCTCTGTGAAGGTCCCTCTTGCCTCCATCTGTTACTTATAAGGAACTTTCCGCTCACATTTGGGCCCCCCCAGATAATTCAAAATAATGTCTCTATGTCAAGATCCTTAATTTAATCACATATGCACAGTCCATTTTGCCATGTATGGGAATATTCCCAGGTTCTTGGGATTGGGACATGGACGTCTTAGAGGTGTTGGGTGATTATTCAGCCTACCACACTGAGATTAATGTTTATATTTTATATTGCATAAATCATATTGTTGTGGTATTTTAAGGTCTTCAAGATTTTAAATCTATGTGAAATTTTTTGAATACCTCTCTGAATTTCATGGCATATGAAATTTAAATAGCTCTTCTTAAAATATGTTAATTACCTAGGGAGTTTATATTCTTTCAAGCTGTGTAAATTCCATCTGAAATGCATTCGTTTTTCCAATATCTACAAAAATATGTCTATATCACATTATACGGGAGTTTATGTCTGTGTTACTGAAAATTTGGAAGCCTTTGGGAATGGCCATCTATTTCATTGATTCTTTCTTTCCTCTTCTTCCTCCTCCCTTCTCTTCCTCTCATCCCTTCTACATTTCAGAGTACCCTGAGATCTCCAAATTCTTCTTTTTCTCTTACAGAAAGCAGTTTATCTTTGAAAAACATCAAGTAAAGTTTGAAAAACTACATCAAATTACATTAAAACAAGAGACCTCTATTTGAGAAAGTTTTGTGTGTGTTTAAAACCACTGTGGCTATCGCTGGCAAAATAATGTTTTCTTCCGATTATAAATACAATGCCATAATTTATTTTAAATAAAAATTGTAATCGTAGATAATTCAAAAATGGTACTAAGGATTTCTATTATTTGAGTGCTTATTCGATATAGATATTTGAGTAATATCTTACTGACATTCATCACTTATTAACTCAGCTTGCTTTTATTAAGTACTCACTGTGTACCAGACACTTTCTAAATGACAGACACTAAAGCCAATAATGAGAAATAAAACCTGAAGTCTTATTTCATTGGCTTACATCATTTTTATTGATCTGCTTTAGCCATTTGCTTTCCATAACTTTGATTTGCCTATAGCTTTTGGTGAATTGTCTAGCAACTAACCCCAGGTTATGGTCAAGATGAAGGGATATCAGTAGCAGGCTTGAGTTTGACACTACTATAAATGGTATTCACTACCTTAATCCCAGTTGCCATGTAAATAACCATGTTGAAATAAGATATTTCAGAGAGACAAAAATGATTTTCCAAATAAGTCTCATGAAGGCAAACACTGAACACAGTGAGAGCTCAGAAATTTCAGTTTCTTTCTTTTTCTTTTCTTTTCTTTTCTTTCTATTTTTTTTCTTTTTTTTTTTTTTTTGAGACTGAGTCTTGCTCTGTTGTTGCCCAAGCTGGAGTGCAGTGGCTCAGTCTCAGCTCATTGCAACCTCTGCCTCCTGGGTTCAAATGATTCTTCTGCCTCAGCGTCTGGAGAAGCTGGGGCTCCAGGTGCACACCACCGCACCCAGCTAATTTTTGTATTTTTAGTAGAGATGAGGTTTCAACATATTGGCCAAGCTGGTCTTGAACTCCTGACTCGTGATGCACCCACCTTGGCCTCCCAAAGAGCTGGGATTACAGGTGTGAGCCACTGCGCCCAGCCAGAAGATTGTTTCTTTATGCATCCACAGTTTATATGCACCTTGAAATCAGAGCTTTAAGCTCATGTGTACCATGTCTCTCTTGCTCACATAACTTCCTCTCTGCTCAGCATATAAAAAGTGATACAAATTAAAATATTTTTGAATAATTACATAAATACATATATGAAATGTGTAATATTTTTCCTTCCCAAATAATTTATAAACTAGTCATCCATAAAAATGATTAGGATTTTTTTCTGTTTTTATTTACTATTCATTCATTTTACAAGTATTTATCAGCATTAAGCTAGACTCTTTCTACCCTTTCTTTTGCATCTCCATGCCCACATAAAACTGGGCTCAATACGCAGTGGATACACAGTAAATGTTACTGATTGACTGAAAGACATCCTATTATGAGGCCATTATTATTGGAGTTTGCAGGTTTCTTTTCCTAATTTTAAAATGCCTTTTTCATTTTAGATCACCCCAGGTAACTGTCTCACCACATCAATCTATTGATTCTCACTGCACGGAGTGAAGAAGAAACCACCAGATCAGGTATGGTTGTCAGTACTAAAAGTTATTCACTCAAAATTAATATGTGTTATGCATTTCAGAGAGGAACACTGAAAATATTCTTACAATTGAACATGAGGCAATTGATTTTGGAAGTTACTAGAAGTTAAAAGCCTCTTTTTTTTCTTTTTTTTTTTTTTTCAAATACAAGAGCTCTTCTGTGGAAAAGAAACTATTTATACAAGGACTTTTTAAGGCTTCTACATTGCCACTTACGCCACCTAATAGTTATTCTATCGACACATATTCTGTCTAAATGTCTTCAGTCACAGTCCTTCTCCTGTAATCTGGGTGTTCATTGTTCTGTTTGATATGCACTGGAAGCCCATGGCATCTTCTTATTTTAATCAGTATTTAAATGCATTGTCAGTTGAAATAAATACAACAATGATTTGTTGAACAAATGTTTCTCTTAAATGTGAAAATGTAGGGGCTAAAACCACAAATCAACCCCAAAGCTCACAGTCTTTGCATGCATTTTTCAAGAAGGTGAGATAAAAATTATTGTCTAGTGAAAATCAGGAACTTATGAAAGTTGTAAAGCTCTGTGACCTGCAAAATAATGTCATTTTGAAGTATCTCAACTAACTACTCTGCAGAATGAACAAACAACTGTAATAGGTTGGTAAAATGAAATATTTACCTTTAAAGATGTTGAATTTGACCAAAAAATTAGAAAAACATTGAAAAAAGAAACAATATTATTCCATAGTATTTTTAACTGGAATTTCTAATTCTATCCCATAAGAATAATTTAAAAATACAATTTATGTATCAATGATTCATAGTTAAGGAAAAATTTGAGGCCAAGGTGATTTTCTTTTCTTCTCTCTCTTTCTTTCTATAAAAATTTTATTTAAATAAATTTTGTGATAATTCTTTTTCTTCAAACTTCACAGATACTTGCTGAGAACAGATAATGAATAAAGCTGCAAAATAAAAATGAGCATCCCAGACTGGAATTGGGTTCTTAGTTAGCTAGTATCCCAAGAAACTGTTTCATCTGTGAAAGACTGTTTTTAAGGCAAGGCAGCCCTAAAAGCCAATTTAGATGCAACTTACATCACTTCAAGAGTTATAACAATATTTTCTGAATATAACAATCTCAATCATAGGGCCCATTGTGTGGTGATCCCTTCTTTTTTGATTGAATTACTTAAACAGTTATTAATAAAAGGGATGAGTATCTTTGAATTATAAGAAGATATCCAGCTATTGACCTGCTCAGGGTTTGTAGAGAAACGCTATCCAGATCTCTTTAGGTTATTGGGCCATAAGTCTATCTACTCCAGTAAAGCTTTATTCATATGCAATCAGAAGATTAAAATTAAGCATCTTTGGAGTCAGCATGCATTAATTAGTTAGTAGTCATCTTGGTCGAGGAGGGTGGCATTAATGTTTCATCATTCTTTCCCTATTTTATATCTTACCACTGCCCCAAAACATACACAGCTGTTACTGCTTTTGACTATAGCAGTTCACTTAGCATATGCTCTTACTTGTTTTAATGTCATTAACTTAGCTAAAGACTTTCAGCCAAGCTTACATTTGAAAAATCAAATAAGGAAATAAAGCAATAGTGTTTCATAGAGCATACCATTGCCTCCATGATTCTGGGCAAACCTAAAACTCTCCTTCTTCCTACTCACTGGATGAAACTTCTCTGTTGGAGAAATACTAGTTCCTCTCAAAGAGGGATTTACTATTCTTGGGTATTTTTACTTTTTTATATATATCAGACAAAGATCTATCTATTTTAATTGCCCCATTTGATAACTATCTGATTATTTGAATCTCCTCATAGGAGATTTATCATATTTATCATAGGATAAATACAGCTTAAAGTTAAAGACAAGTAGACAGGTTCAAGCCCCACCCTTGCCTTTTACTACCTGTGGCTCATGAGCAAGCTAGTTAAATTATTTGTGCTAGAGTCTCTGCATTTCTGCATTGGGAGTAATAATATTACCTAAACGGGTTTTTCTAAGGATTGAAGTAGAACATTCATTTTAAGCTCTTAATATACTAGGTAACACAAAGCAAGCACTCAAAAATGCAAGCTGTATCACAAAGCTGCTCAAATTATTAGAGTAATACACACACACACACACACACACACACATACACACACTCTCTCACAGAGTTGGCATAGGCAATAAGAATGGCTTATCTGCTTTCAAGTCAGTCATTGGAATTGAAAAATTCTTGATACCAAAAGTGCACTGAATATAGCTTGAAGTTTGAAATTTGTAGTGTCTCAGGTCTTTATTGCTATTGATTATCATTATAATCACAGAAAGCTAGTAGTACAGAATGCTCCATATATGAAGCTCAATATTTGAGAAAGCCATGGTAAAAATGACCACAGATATCATCTAGCCTAAAGATTTTTCAGACTGGATATTGTTTATTTTGATTTAGTTTGGCTTCTTTGGTAGAACTATATTATATGTAAGAGTTCTATAAGGAGAGCTTATCTGTGTAGGGATGACGGTGATTCAGATTCTTGTCTGTTCATTTCCACCACAAACACCATCCTTAAGTTTTCCCTGAAGATCTCCCAGTACTTAGAGAACACACGTTTAAGAACACTGACCGGCTGGGCGCGGTGGCTCAAGCCTGTAATCCCAGCACTTTGGGAGGCTGAGGCGGGTGGATCACGAGGTCAAGAGATCAAGACCATCCTGGTCAACATGGTGAAACCCCGTCTCTACTAAAACTACAAAAAATTAGCTGGGCATGGTGGCACATGCCTGTAATCCCAGCTACTCAGGAGGCTGAGGCAGGAGAATTGCCTGAACCCAGGAGGCGGAGGTTGCGGTGAGCCGAGATCGTGCCATTGCACTCCAGCCTGGGTAGCATGAGTGAAACTCCGTCCAAAAAAAAAAAAAAAAAGAACACTGACCTATTTTGGTCCCAAAATTTTTAGAATGGAGAAACCGAAGCTAAGAATAGTGAAGTAACATACCCAAGTCCACACCAGAAGAGGGCAAGTCTGAGTATGCTGATTCCCATCTGTGGGCTCGTTCTGACTCTTCAGTATATTATAGTGAAAGTTTAGGATATTAAATATGACTTTGGAAAATGTGGCCTTCTCTCCCTCTTTACCAATTATTTTTGAAAAAAAGAAATTTAACTTTATTATTTTTTAAAAAATTTTTAATTTTCATAGGTCATTGGGGAACAGGTGGTGTTTGGTTACATGGGTAAGTCCTTTAGTGATGATTTTTGAGCTTTTAGTGCACCCATAACCCCAGAAGTATACACTGCACCCTATTTGAAGCCTTCTATCTCTCACCCCATTCTCACCCATTCCTCCTGAGTCCCCAGAGTCCATTGTGTCATTCTTATGCCTTTGCATCCTCATAGCTTAGCTCCCACTTATGAGTGAGAACATATGATGTTTGGTTTTCCACTTCTGAGTTACTTCACTTAGAATAATAGTCTACAGTCTCATCCAGGTCACTGTGAATTCATTCATTAATTCATTCCTTTTTATGACTCAATAGTATTTCATTGTGTGTGTTTTTGTGTATATATACCACAGTTTCTTTATCCACTCATGGATTGATGGGTTTGTTTCACATTTTTGCCATTGGGAATTGTGCTGCTCTAAACATATGTGTGCAAATATCATTTTTGTATAATGATTTCTTTTCCTCTGGGTAGATAGTAGTGGGATTTCTGAATCAAATGGTATTTCTACATTTAGTTCTTTAAGGAATCTCCATACTGTTTTGCATAATGGTTGTACTAGTTTGCATTCCCACCAGCAGCATAGCAGTGTTCCTTCCCTGTTGGCATCTACACCAACGTCTAGCATTTATCTACTATTTTATTTTATTTATTTATTTATTTTCTTTTTGAGATGAAGTCTTGCACTGCCGCCCAGGCTGGAGAGCAGAGGCACAAAGTTGGCTCACTGCAACCTCCGCCTCTGGGGTGAAAGCAATTCTCCTGTCTCAGCTTCCTGAGTAGCTGGGATTACGGGCACCCGCCACCATGGCCAGCGAATTTTTTGTATTTTTAGTAGGGGCAGGGTTTACCATGTTGTCCAGGCTGGTCTCAAACTCCTGACCTCATTATTCACCTGCCTTTGGCCTCCCTAAGTGCTAGGATTACTGGCATGAGCCACCACAACTGGCCACCATCTACTATTTTTTTACTTTTTGATTATGACCATTCTTGCAGGAGTAAGGTGGTATCGCGCTGTGGTTTTGATTTGTGTTTCCCTGTTCATTAGTGATGTTGAGTATTTTTTCACGTTTGTTGACCATTTGTATATCTTTTTTTGAGAACTGTCTATATTCATATTCTTATTCTACTTTTTAATAGGACTGTTTATTTTTTTCTTGGTGAGTTGTTTGAATTCATTGTAGATTCTGGATATTAGTCCTTTATCAGATGTATAGATTGTGAAAATTTTTTTCCCACTTTGTGGGTTGTCTGTTTGCTTTACTGACTGTTCCTTTGGCCATGCAAAAGCTCTTTAGTTTAATTAAGTCCCAACTGTTTATTTTCATTTTTATTGCATTTGCTTTAGGGTTCATGGTCATGAAATCCTTGCATAAGCCAATATCTAGAACGTTTTGTCCAATGTGATCTTCTAGAATTTTGATAGTTTCAGGTCTTAGATTTAAGTCCTTAATCCATTTTGAATTTATTTTTGTTTAATGTGAGAGATGAGAATCCTGTTTTATTTTCCTGCATATGGCTAGTCAATCATCCCAGTACCATTAGCTGAAAAGGTTGTCCTTTCCCCACTTTATGTTTTTGTTTAAGTCAAAGATCAGTTGGCTGTAAGTATTTGGGTTTATTTCTGGGTTCTCTGTTCTGTTCTACTGTCTGTGTGCCTGTTTTTATATCAGTACCATGCTGTTTTTGGTGACTATGACCTTATAATATAGTTTGAAATCAGGTAATGCGGTGCCTCCAGATTTGTTCTTTTCGCTTAGTCTTGCTTTGGCTATGTGGGCTCTGTG